TAACACTTGGAATGACCATCAAGTTAATGTTGACCTCTTTCCTCAGTTGTTCTGATCAGGTCTTTAAAAATTGGTTATTATCCTCTCATGACTGGTTATATGGAATTTCCTACACCTATTTCAATAGATCTGACTTCTACAAACAAAGAACAAAATCAAGAATAGTCCATGGTTACCTTGGAGAGATATTCCAGACCTAGCTGAAAAAATACAGGAGCCATTTGTAGTCAGAAATACAAGTTAATATCAGAACATTTGATTTTATTATTTTTTTTAATGCATAGCTAAATAAGATTTCCCGCAGGCTTGAACAAATCATCACTAAATCCACATTTCAACAGAGAACAGGCAAACTGGACTGGATAACTCTTATGCAGTATGGAGTATTTTACATCTTCTATTCATCTATTCACTTTTTCACAATGTTGCTTGGAAAATGTTAGAATTCATACATTGGGGTCCAAAAATAGCTTAGGAAATAGTAGTAGATAAAAAAGTACTTCTCTGGAAAGCAAGATTTAAAAAACATATTCTGTAAAAATTATACTATGTAGATGCTTCAGGACATATTAGGCTAGTGGTGTCTAGGTTAAAAATAAACCATTGAAAGAGAGCTTTTATTTGCAATTTGGAGCAGAACTAGCTGTCTTTTTGCATTTAGATAGTGCTGGTATGCATAAATTATATTATGTATCAGTTAATTGCTGAAGGTTTGCATGTAATCACGTTGTAGTTCAAACCTTTATCCTATGGTAAGGAATTCCATAAGTAAAGGCCTAAGTGAAGATATCTTTCTGGTTTATACAGGAATCTGAATTATTGAAATAGATATCATAGGCATTTCTGACCACAGCAAACCTCAGAAAATAGCCATCAGTAGCCTTGGCCAGCTGACCCTATTTGAACTATGATTACCTCTCCAAAATTCACCCAGATTGTATTGACAACCAGCATGAAGTATGAGTCCAGTCTGCCCAAAAGACTAATAATTTAGCCATGAAGATTGACAACGTGCCCTGTTACTTGAGTCTGCCTTGGGGGTAAGAACGAGCAGTAATTTCCATGGGGAGTCAGAAAATGAATAGAGCCCTGAAATGCAAGCCAAATTGCCTTTGCATTTAGTTGCCTACTAACATGCTAGCTGTAAGATGGTAACAGCACTGGAAGTTTTTGTGTCGACTTGACTTCTTCATCCACAGTGAATAATGATGCTACACAATTGATGAAAGGCACCCGAGTCCTTTCCTGAAATGACAAAGGACTGGAGAACGCTGTGGTGCCTTCTCATGTTTGCCTTGAGCTTTGCTGTATGTCTCCACTCTTCCTACCTCATGAGCACCCAAACTCTGTGCCACGGGAGTGGGTCATATTGAGCCAGCACTGTGATCTGTACATGTGATTAAATCTCTATGTGGGCAGGAGATGTACCAATACCCTTCTCAAGAGAAGTCAGAGCATACACATGATAATAATGAGCATTTATTTCTATACCTATTTGCAAGGTTCCCTTCACTGAAGTCCAACAACAGCTTCATCCTCCCTCATGCGCTCTTTCTCTCTTGCTCTCTCCCCACCCCCCTGCTTTTGGTTATTCAAGCTCCTGCAGACGACCAGAGAGGAAACACAGGGTGCTTGCAGGATCTGCTGGGTGAATGGTGAACCCCAAGCAAACACACTGTTTATTCAGAAATATTTCAGGCTGTTTTCAGGAACCAAGAGAATACTGAGTTCTGATCATGCTTACCTCTTAAAGGGGAGCATACAATTCTCAGTGGTAACTTTCCATTTCAATGGCTACTGAAAGAAATCTGTTTTGGGAATTGCCTTTCCTTATTTGTATAAAAATCCTTTTATGCCATTAAGATGCTGTGCAAAGAGAAACAAGATCTAGGAGCTTGTTCAGGCACAGTTTTCACTACCCAGTAGAGTTAGTCTCATTAAAATGGACCTCGTCTCCTCACTGCTCCTGCACATACTGTCAGTTTATCACAGATCATCTGACATCTCTAAAATGGAAAGCATGACGTAAAGCAGGAAAAAGAGCTTGAGACTGAAGAAACCCGAAACAAAAATTACAAAGACTTTGGAGAAAAGGCTCGCAGGAAAAGATGCCTGTATACAAACTTGTCAAGTCTTCAGGGTGCCTATGTGCCAGCCACAGGGAACAATAAGCATTTACGACTGTGCACCGCTCTCTGCCCTCACCCAGCTCTGCAAGGAGCGGTGCGGACTCCTGGGGCCATGCACACAGGAGTGACCTTCTTAGGAAAGCCCTTCCTCAAAAAACCCTACAGGGACACCTCCCTCCCTCCCCCCTCTGCAGCCCAAGGAGTGCGGATACAGCCATGAGGGGCTGCAACTGGTGGGGGCTGTCAGCCCACCCTCCTGTGCCAACACAAGGCAGCTGGTTTGGGTCTTTCAGGCCTGAATGTTGGTTTACCCTTGAGTTTTGGGCTGGGAGCTAGGAAACAGCAGAAGTGCCTGGATGAAAGAAGACAAAAAGTCCCCTGAGACCTCCTTCAGGTCAACAAGGAGTTAGAATCCTGCGCTCTGCCTGACAAAAGGCAACAACCGGAAAATTACCAGGGGACAAAGGGGACACTGAGAAGCCCCCAGGACATGGAGTGGAGCAGCTGCGGGAAGCACAAGGGGACAGGGCAGTTAGGAGGAGCCACCATGCCTGCCGGGGAAATAAAATCCTCTTTGCCTCTCACACAGGCTGGGGTGCAGCAGCACCCAGCAAAGAGCTGCTGCCACCTTTTCTCATGAAGCTGGGCGGCAAAGCCTCAGCAGGAGATACTGCAGCGCTCAAGTGGATCTGGCGAGGGGAGTCCTCAGTTGATGGGTGAGGATGGCTGTGCGCTGCAGGGAGCTGCTGGTCTCCGAGGTGGCCTTGTTGAGGGCCACTTCCCCCCTTCCCGAGGATGGAAATGCCCCCAGAGGGATCTTACCATGGGAGACGTAAATTCTCCTGTTGGTTTCTGCGTGACAGCAGTAAATTTTTTTATTGCTCCTTAAGCTGAATTTCCATGGTCAGTTTTTCCTAGGAGACTATTTTTGCATGCATTTCCTCGTTGCCTGGACAAGACCAAGACAAATTTGAAGCCAGACCACTGCAATAACTCAGCTCCACACAAGAAACCCGGTTCAGTAGCGGTGGAGAAAACAAACAGTCCGTGGATTGATGGGAAGAGAGATTTAAACAGTGAAGTTGAGTATCTTACACTGGCAGGGGATTCAGTGGGTTTTCAACATAAACTGGCAGAGACTGGAAGGCAGGTGATAGCAGGAAAAGAGGCTGTGGGACAAAACAGTCACTTTGTATAGGTATATGTAAATGTATATATGAATGTATGTTGAATATTTAGATTAAGACCTCTTATCCAATATGTAAAATACACAAGTGTTTAACTTGAACCCAAAACTTTACCCCTCACAGTCCCTCTGCTGCCCCAGATATGTTTGTCCCAGACAGTCCAACTGGAAATACAAATGAATGAAAAAGATAACCAAGCCCAAATCAACAACAGCAGCACAGAAACAGAAAGGCGTTCCTATAAAGCGCCATTCAAGGGCCCGCTAATTGAATGCATGGGAGTGTGGTGTGTGCTTTCCCTGGGGGATTTGCCTCATCCCCCCCCATAGCAGCCTTTGACACCGGGAAAGCAGTTTTTGGGCAGGAGCAGCATGACCCTGCCCGTGCTGACCCACCATCTCCCCATCAGCTGCACTGTGTGCTGCCTTCGCTGATGAAGCGTCTAAACAGGGAGCTAAGGTGGATCTTAAAGAGAGAAAAATAGCCATGGTTGGAGGATGAATGCTGAGCTAACAAAATACACAGGCAAAACCCCATAGGGAGGTGTTGATTTTGCTGCATTTCCCACACCGTACAGGTGACATCGGTTAATGTGTTAAAATGGCTAATGCGTCATTAAAGGAAAATGGGATTGAAATGAAGGATGCTGGATGCAGGAGGCGAGCCCTTTAAATTCCCAGCTGTAAATGCTGGGTTTGTGAATGAGCTGCTGCCGCCAGGTACTTTGGAGGAAAAGCCTAGCTAATAATTGGAGAAAATGGCATGGCACAAAACTCTCCGAGTGCTTGGCCTGGAGGCTGTGTGTCCATTAGAGGAAATCAGAAAGTCAAAACAGACACTGTGTAATTTCTCCGTACTTGCATTAACCATATCCCCAACACTCGCAGTGTGGTTCACTTTAGTATAATAAAGCACTTTATTCCGCCCCATCACAGCTAAGTGTCCTCATCAGATGGAGTATCACAGTGGCTAGAATTCACTTTTCCATTAAGAAGATTGTGCATCTTGCTAAGACATTAGTCTATAGCTCTAGCAATGTTTTGATTATTTTTAAGAGGGCAAAACTTGCTGATAAACATCCTCCTCCCAGCCCCAGAGGAACTTTTCATTTAGTAAAAACCAAAAAATCTTTTAATTTCTACTATTTAGCAACTTCCTTGGTAAAATATTTTGTCTAAATTGCAATTTGCTAATCTAGTTGTTTCACTGCATGACAAACCATTCCTTTCTAGGTACCGGAACTATTTTGCTTGTGATGTTTTATTGCATTAACTATTTGGAGCCACTAAAATCAACAGAGCTGGCAAAGTATAGGGCTCTGAATTTTTTGACCTGGAGCAACTACCTGAAGGCTGGGGAAAGAAAAGTCTGAGCTGGTCTCTTCCCAGACGTGCAGTGGGATAGGAGAGGAGGCAGTGGATGCAAGTTGGCATGCAGAAAAAACAGATTAGATATTAGAAAAAAAATTTTTCACAAGAAGGGCAGTCAAAACACTGGAGCAGGACCTCACAGAGGCTGTGGTCTCCACCTTCAGCAATATTATAACCCCATCTGGACAAGGCTCTGCACAACCTGATTTAATTGACACTGCTTCATGCAGCAGTTGCCCTACATGACCCCTGAGGTCCCTCCCAGCCTAAATTATTCTGCGGTTCTGTGATCAGCACAGAGAACAAGAGAAAGGGGAAAGCAGCGTAGGCAATTTTCCTAGCTCCTCACATTCACCGTACGCCAGAGCCAGCCAAGACCAAGTTGGATCCCCAAACTTCCTTCTCTGATAGTCTCTACCCAAGTGCGTACCGATGCCTGGGAGCCGCGTCAGCCGCTGGGAGGGCAGCCAGGTAAGAGCGTCGCTTCTCTGTGTTGGGGAGCCTGGGAGGGCTGGGGGGTTTTTCAGTATTGCCATGTGCCCTATGGAACATTATATAAAATGTCTTTCTGGTGTGGCACTGAGGGCTCTCTGGCTGAAAATTCCTGAGGTTAGTGTCACAGAGCCAAATTGTGCTCTCAGGTCTGCTGCAACAACTCTGAGATTTGACTGGATTGGTATAGCCAAGGCCACAGTTAATAATGGAGATTTCTGCAGTTAATTTAGCTGTTAGAAATTTCTGCTTGACTTTTAATTCTTGAAGTAATATTAACTCCTTGCTGACATAATTATGTATTGGCTTTTTATATGCATATATCTGTAAAAGCATTAAAACAATATACAGATGCCTGCTAATGTTATAATATAATACCAGTGATAAGCAAGAGCTTCTCTGAGGCCACCTTAAGTCCTGCTGAAACTTAAATGCCAGGTTGTTATTGTGGCATGTTTACTCTCACTTCTAGCTGCATTTTACTGTTTGGCTTCCTAAATCTCAGCAGGGAAAGGACAGCTTAGCTCCCTTGAAGACCGTGCTGCTCTGAAATGATGACTGTTGCTGTGGGGGAAGGGGTTGCGCTCTATGCAACATGATTTGTAGGACCCTCTATAAATCATTTACCAGCATGCCTTCACTGCAAGCCACAGGCTTACAATTTGTGGAGCTTTAAGAAATGTAAGCAATAACAACACGCAAAGGACAGGAAAAAAAACCAAAAAAACAAAAAAAAAAAACAAACAAAAAACATGAAGAGATGGACATCTCTAAAACCCTTGCCTGGAAAATGAAAAGCCTTTATTTAAGTCATAAGGACAAGCGCTGAAAGCATTTTAATGGGTGAGTGCCTTACTGCACGGCCACCACGTGTTATACAAATAGCTGCTTCGTGGCTTCAGAGGCAGGCGGGGAGGGGGGCTTGGCCGGCCCTGCGAAAGCGGCGCGGCTGCGACCCTCGTGTCTCCCTCTTGAAGTCCTTAATAAATCACCCTGCTGTGCTCATAAAGTGGAGTGAGCAGCAAAGCAAAGGCCTGAGCACGCAAAGCTGATTGGAAAATCAAGGGATTTTAAAAGGGGAGGGGAATACCTTCCATTACTGTCACAGAGAAACACCCGTGCGTGGTTGTGGACAATACCAGAGCAACTGCTGGGGACCTAACGTGGAGGCATTGCATTTTTCTTACTGCTGAAGGAGCTTCCTATCATCATTCTTATGCCAAATGGAAGTGCTGATACAGATTTTAAGTGATAATTAATGTCAGTCAGCATTATTATAAATAGAAACCCTGTCTCAAAAAATACTTCTCTTTTTGACGATGGATATGGTGACACAGCGATCCTCCTTCCATTGTCAGGTGCTTCACTTAGTACCATACAATGTGGTGATTAAAAAATAAGCACTCCATGATATCAGTAAAGATTGCATTAAATGGATGAAGAACTGCAGTATTTTTGAGTGAGAGTCAGAGATTTTTCCATGATATCAGTAAAGATTGCATTAAATGAATGAAGAACTGCAGTATTTTTGAGTGAGATTCAAACAGAGATGTTTCCACTGCAGGTCAGAAGTGACCAAGACATTGAAAACATTTTCCACCCAAGATTCTTCATGAAATGTAAAAGAAGTGACAGGTAGCAACAGGTCTGCCACAAGAATGGGGCCAAGAACACCAAATACAGTGATGGAGCCGAGGAGTTATTTTTTTTCCATTTTATTGCCTGAAGGAGACAGGCCTGGGGGATTCATTTTATCCATCTTCCATGGACCACATCCTCCTCCCAGGGCAAATCTGCTGTGGAGCTGGGACATGAGGCACTAGATCAGCATCCTATGTCAGGTGCTAGCCATCTCTCTGAAAGTTCCTCAGAGGAACTGTAAATCACTCAGAAGATGGTGCAACATTTGATAAGGTACTGAAACAAATCGCATCTAAATACAGGCAGGTGTTAAGGCTGGGGATGTGGAGTGGAAGCCACTCCTGGAAATGGGCAGCATGATAATTCCACAATAATGGCAGAGTGTATAAGGTCACAATGGAGAAGCAACTGAACACAGGTTGCCAGGGCAAAGCCACATTAAAAAGAGGTCAAATAATCCCTATATACAAAGAAGGGAATGTGAGCAGATTCAGGCGTGAGCTTTCCTTCTTTTTAAGAAAGCGTGAAAAGTTCTGAGCAAGGTATCAATGGAAATAATGAATCCTCCACCTCTTAGTGTCTTCTGATCAGGATATACAGCTTCACCAAGCAGAAGTCGTGTTTTTGTCAAACATGCCATTGCCATGTCCCTCATTTTCATGAAAGTCGTTCTTCAGCGTTTCTAATAGCTGAGACTCTGTGTGGCAGTAATGAGAAGGGAAAAGCAGAAGGACCCAGAAATTAATCCCCAGAATATTTTTAAATACCCAGTAATTACAGCAAATTTTAAATAATTGAAGAAAGTAGTTTGCACAAAACCTCTGATCCATGTTCTTTAAAAGAAACTCCTGGCTCACAAGCATCTTTCTTTCTGTTCCTTGCAGAAATGTTGGCAGAAACACACCAGCATTTAACAGGTTTTTCCCAGTGCTGCGGCTGTTGATGGCAAAGATTGAGAGATTGGAAATGCAGTAGGAAGGTTGTGAAGATGCAGCAGGCACCGGACAGTGACAGCAGACTTGCAAACCAAGAGCAGCCTAGCTACAAGCATGGGTGATGGCTACTCTAATCACCACCTGTACAGACCTTAGCCCAGGTAAGACTCAAGGGAACATTTTCTTCTGCATTTATGCCAAAATAATGCTACAAATTTTGTTTTCCCTTGTTTGTAATGTCCAAGATACTGAAACTGATCCTGCCATTGGGATACAGGATTCTCTTTTCAAGATATAATATCTAGAGACTGATCAAAGGCATCAATAGTCAGTGCACTAAATGAGAGCTGCAGATGCTGGCTTATATCAACTTGATTCCATTTGAGTGCCTGCTACTGTTTTTGAAGTGCCTAAACTGAAGCCACTAGAGACTGAAAATGTTGCCTAACTTCCCTTAGCTGTGCTTGATCTCCATGTCCCAGAGGAGTAAAGAAATCAATAAAAACTAATACTGGTCAGGAACTGAAACATACCCCTAATGACAATGCACAGGGAGCAAGCAAAGTGGAGTAGGAAGATGTTCCAGCAACCTACCATAACAATGTCCATATGCAAGATCATTTTTTTGTACCATTTTCAGAGCGATTATGAAATTTATTCCAAAGGCATAGCAGGAGCCACAGAACAGTGGGTGGGAAAAACAGGAGAGAGATGAATTAAAATGTAAACAGCTAGGGAAGAGACTGAGAAAAGTGCTGAAGCAGCAAGCTAATGCTCAGGGACACCCTGACTCAGGTTCTGCCATAGGGGATGAACATTTGGGACTGAGGCATTTGAACTTCCTACTCAGATTCCTGCAGCCAGCCTGAGTTTGCTGACATGATTAAGGATTGACTGTGCTCATGTGAATTTAAATTGATTTCTCATCGCAGCATGAATCCCTCCCTCCCTCCTTGCAAGAGGAGGCACAGCCGCTGAAGTCACCTTTACAAGTCATGCTGACTCGGGAGAAAGAGGCTTATGAGATAATGAGCAAATATTTTCTAATTAGGTGGTGAACTAAGGATTTCCCCTGTTTTCTGATCCAGATCCTGTCTGGCAGAAAAGAAAGGAGGAGGAGGAGGCAGGACAGGGACAGGCTAGGAGAGTGCCGCGGCAAACGGGATTTCCACCAAACAGCTTTGCTTCTTCTATGAGCCCTAATCTCCCACAGCTGTGTCTTCTTGCTCTGGTACACATGATTTTTGTTTTCCCCCATCTCCTGCAACGAGTGTTCATATACAAATCCCATAGGCACAACTTTGGAGGCCTCCTAGTTTCCAAAGGAGAAATAAACCAGGTGAACCATGAATTCACTCTGTGGGTGCCAGGGGCTGTTTTCCAACTGGTTTTCTTTTACTTTTAGCCTCTTTCAACCCTCTAATATCATTGATGCTTTAGAAAAGTGCCTCAAATCTGCAAGCACCATCGTTTGCTCGACTATCAGCATTCCCCATCAATAATGGAACTAAAAACATAGCTTAATAGACAACAAGGCTACAGCAGCTGGCAGTGCCGCACAAATCTGGCACTCTTGCTGCTGAGTTTATTAGACATTTTATAGTCCTGGGAACTAAAGATAATGGACCCCATTCCCATATGCTGCATCAACAAGAGCTGGGACTCCATCGTGCCATTGATCTATGAGGCAGCAGTGAATAAGACCCAGGCACAAATACTAAAATGAATCAATCCTAAGCTGTTAAAAGAGACACCATGAAGCACTTTCCAGTTTTCAGTTTCTTGCTTTCTAATCTCCATTCCATGAAATACTCTCCCAAGGGCTCTTAAGTGTTTGCCACAGACTTTGGGATCAGGTTGAGAGGAATTGCCCCTCTGGAGCAGAGACTAGAGCTGAAATTTAGAGCCCATTACCATTACTAGTCACTTGTGAGCTCCACCCATTGCCTATGGAGTAAAAGCATTTTTGGGGTTACTTTCATTTTTAAAAAGTGCTGCATATGTCCATACAGGTTTCCAAATCAATGTTCAGTGTAGAGTTTGCAAAGTTATTCTCCTCAGATGATTGGAAAACACACTTTGATTTGTTTCCAAGTACAGAAAACTGTAAGTATCTGCAGCCTAGAAAATAAATTATACCTATTTAAAAAAAAAAAAAAAAAAAAAAAAAAAAAGCTTTAATCTGAACCTGACCAATAGTGAGTACTACTCAGGTGCTAACATTCACTTCTTCAGAAACTATGTTATCTTCTGATTTTAGTATATGAAGGTACCATGGTTTCTGCAGTCTCAAATCAATTTCTATTGGATCTACATCAGTGTGCTCTATTTTAGCCATTTAAAATACATCATACTCGATACCAACAACTTGTTTTAAAGCAAGCACTCAAAGAAAAGAAAAACCTTTCAAATAGCAGCCTTTAGACTGGCACCTACAAACATAAAACAAAGACAAGAGAAAAGTGCCCTGATATAAAATCAGTTTTCAAAGCAGGGAGAGACTGCCTAGCTGTGTACACAAAATGAAAGCTTCACAAAGACGTTATCGGATCAAATAGTTTGGAGAGTTCCTACTCAAATGCAGGTTATGAAAAGCAAAGACAATCAGCTTGCTTCTCCTGAGTACGGATTCCAAGTGGATCTGATGACGGCCTCAGGCACTTTCATGGCTCCGTGTGCCCCAAATCTCTACAAAGTCACATCAAGTGGCATTTGGTATTTAACCTTGCTGTGCCCTTATGGCAAGAAATAACACTACTTGGGTACAAGGGCTCCACAAAATAGTGAGGGCTTTTCGGTAATTAATATCAAGTAAATAACTCAAAAAGCTGGATGGGGGAACTAAAAAAGAGACTAATGTATTTCTTAGTGTAATTCACTGATGAAAAATCACCACTGGTAGATTACTTTATCCTATATGTATCAGAGTGGGCAGGCAAATAACGAGTCTCTTAGATTTATGGTGCATCTCTCACCTGGGAGAAGACCCGGTTGCTTTGCATCTTGAATCATTCTGGTCATTTGGAGAGTGAAACACAACAGCTGTTTAACAACACACCCAAGTTTACAACCTGAGGTAGAAGCAATGTAATTATTTTGAGAGGAGTTAGACTGCTAATGTTAGCATGTGGATTTATGAGATTAGTTACTCAATGACTGCATGAAATCCAGACTTGGCTTGCAGGAGCAAAGCAAAAAAATTCTACCCATCTGCATAGATTGTCTGGGTGCAGGGAGGGACTCAAGCTTTGTGTGTGATTCATTACTCATGTGGCAGACATTTTATCAGTGCTAATCAAGAAAAATGCATTTTAATTTTCAATACTAAAGAAAGCCTATTAGGAAAGCAGTCTGTTAGGTTACTCCTTGATAGGTATGCTTAGCTGTTTGAATTGTTGACTCAAAAGAATACAAATAAAAACTAATTTAGGTACAAGGGGAATAATACAAAGATTGGTTTTGGTAAAATTCTGTTGCCCCCAAAAGAAATCATCTGAAGACTCTAGTATAAGATGATGATATAATGAAAGTGTTCAAGAGAAGTTAGCAGGATTCTGATTGAAGTCTCTAAAAGCATCAAGATTGTGATCGACATATGCAATACCTTACGTAAGGAGCTCAAAGGGTCTCTATCAAGGTTAAAAAGAGCCCGAAATAATTTTGTTACCCTTTTTCTAGGATCTCTCCTAGCATTATTTGAAATTCATTCTTCCTAATATTTTTCTGAGAGCTTTCTTTTTAAACAGTCATTTTAAACAGCAATTATCCAAACACCTGGGGCCCAAAACACTGCTCACATCTCACAACTGTGCGCACACCCAAAGATGTAGATGCAGTCATAAACATATGCCCAAACTACAGGTGAGCCACTTCACACAAGAAAAACCTCACACGCTGAAGAAGGAGGTGAGCATCACACCTCACAGCCTGGTGTCTAAGGTGAAGGGCATCAGATGAGCTCACGCGTGGCCATCAGCCAGCTGACCTGATGATTTGCCACACGCGGGGGTTAGAGGGATTTGGGTTTGCGTGGGAGTGATGCCCATGGCAGAGGATACGATGTGAAGAGACAGGAATTGGCTGCAGCCCCGAAAGGGAAAACTGCAGAAAAATAGTGACACACTGTGAACTTCAGTAACATTTGTGTTCAAATACTGCTAAAATAAAAAGCTTCATGAAGCCCACACAGGAGATCTAGTTTGGACCTGGCAAAACAAAGATTTTTCAAAGATTTGAGAGATTTTCACAGAATTGTTTTCCTGCTGGGTTTTCCTTTGCCCCTGTCCTCACCCCACGAGGAGAGGAGAAGGCAACTTGGTGGGCCACTGTTCCACACGATGGTGGCTCTTGTAGCCCCATTGCACAGCCCTCCTGCCTTCAACCCTGTTCAGTCCCTCTGTCTTTCTTCATTAACTGAATGATTTAATCTTAACAACTCACTAGCTCAGTGATTCCTAACCAGTGAAATGAGCTCCCAGTCCCTCCCTGCTGGTACCTGCTGCCTCAAAGGCAAAGCAATAAAACGCAGCCTTGTCAGCTTAGTGTCCCCCTTTTACCCAGGCAGGTTTAACCTCTCTTCTTTGCTCAGCAGGTCTTCCCAGCTGCTGAAACCTCTTCTTACCAGCCCTGCTGCCTGGCTGAGCAGGCAGCTCAGTGCAGGGGACCAAGCTGGATGGCTGCCCCTTCACTCGCTCCTGCCAGAAACACGTGCTGCACCCCGGCACCCTTGAGCCAGCATGCAGCCCCTGCCTGTGCACAAAGACCTGCCAACCCCCGCGCAGCCCCGGACGGGCAAGGGGTGAAATAAGACTCTGTTAAGAAGAGACAGCACACCGCAGAGGGGAGGGCTGATGGAGCCTGGGCAGCTATGGGGGGACGGATCCTGGCCGCCGAGGCAATGGAGCTGCTAAGACCAGGCTGCGCCTCAATGGGGCAGGTTAGTCCACACCAGTGCTACCATAATCCCCATGCTGAACTGTGCAAGCCATGAATTAAACCCAGGAAATAATTAAACATCATCTACTTTAACAGCCGCTAGCAGGAAAATAAATAAGACATCCCAACAGAGTAAGATAGAGTAATTTCACGTTTACGCTTCCAGGGGAAAAGGGAATTTGAAACAAACAAACCATCTTTTTTTTTTCCTGCAGAAAGAGAAAGTCAACTGCCTGTCAAAGCGGGACCGTAGCAACACCCAGGGCTCTGTGCAAAATTCTTCTGTTTGCTTCTGCATTTGATTAGCTGCTTGCGTTATGTGTTTTAATTTCCTGCTGTTGAAGCACATTGCTGTCATGGTGATAGATGCTATAGAAATGACTAAAATAAATAAATAAAAGTTCAGAACACACTTTTGACCAAGTCTGCGCTAATTAGCGCGCAAGACAAACAGACAAATGTTTTCTGGGATTTGTGTCAACTGTATCCAGGTTCCTCCCCTGCTTCTCAGATATCAGCGAAACCCCTTCTAGAAGTGGAAATAAAGAAAGGCAGCAGATGGTGCTGGGAATACTCAGAGTAAGATGTCTCCATTCAGAGCCAGATATTAATATTAGTAGCAAACCATCCAGTTAACAGGCACTATGAAGCAGCAAATATTTAATGTGCTGGTAGTAGATGAGTGAGGAAGGCAATATTGCAAAATGACTGGTGAAGGGCTAACCAGAATCCATTCAGAGCCTGTGTGGGTGGGATGCTCCACCTGTGATGGGAAAAGCTGATCTAGCAGGAATAGATGGAAGTGGGAGGGGAAGGAGGAGGGGGCTATCTGTCACGTCGGACAGGGCAGAAATGTGGGAGGATGGAAATTAATCCTGTTAACATAGTTTATAACACCAAAACAAATGGTGTGGTAGCATTCGTCTCTAGTTCTAGACTTCTTTAAAGAAATTAAAATAACAATAATTGTAATTAACACAGGGTTCAACCAAAGGCATCCTAAGAGTTTTACCAGTATAAAACAAAGACTGTCTGTACTTTCAAAGTGAGGAAAGGACTTCTCTGATTGACAGCAGGAACAAAATACATAAAAATAACTCCTTTCCAAAACCAAAGAGGATTTATTATTTCTTGCAGAGCTTCTACCACAAGCCATCATCATCCCCTCCTGGCTGGCTTTCCTGTAGAGATTCAAAGGTACAACACATATCCTCAAGCCATGTAATATCACTGCTCTTGCACTGTCTATGCAGTTCTGATCAAATTTTCTTTGATCAGAAAATTAATCTTAGCTGGAAATAGGAAACTAGAAAGATATTTACTGGACACAGTCAATATTAAATTATCAGATGTTTAGTATTTTTTTCCAGGGTAGCATAATTTCTTAGACAATACGATCCCAATTTAGACTATAAGTGTAAATTCTAATCTCAGTAATAACATCTCCCATCACATTGCACTGTCACCTGCATATACTTTGCAATGCAGATTGCCCCAAATAAATCCTTCCTTTAAACTCGCACCACTAAATGAATGTCTACAGCCTGAAATCACAAGGCATGTGGTTTTGGCCTTGCGCAATATAACTTGTAGACTTTGACCTTAATGGCATAACTGCCCACCACAGTAACTGGAATTTCTGCTGTTAAAAAAAACCTTGCTGAGAAATTATGTCTTTACAAAACAGGGAAGTTTTATCAGTGTTGTTTTTGTTACAACGTGAAAGGAGTTACCGAACAGCTGATGTTGGCTGTGTTTTTTATTCAGATGGCTGTAGTCTGTACCTAGGGAGGTGTGCAGCAGAAACAAGGCTAAAAGAGCAGCAAGCAGGCTGATGAAGAGGGCCAGCACAAATACGTAGCTATGCAGTAAGGGCTGTAAGTAAAGAAGCACAAAGTAAGATCTTGGGATTCAAGGGACCCCATAACACCCTGTTCTTCAAGGATGGACCAACTGTCCAGCCTGGGGACCTGCTGGTGTACACGTAAACTGTGATTTTGGTGCCCCAGATCTCATACATGTTCTGCTAAACTTATCTCTCCTCAGCAGTGCATTTTGGTCTCTACCAAAGCATAAGAATCACCCCCCAAATCTTATCCAGGTGCCACCAGACGATTTGGCAAAATCAGTCACGAGTTAGGCAAGGACCAGCATCTCCTGCAGCTGGATCCAGCTGATCGCCTGTGCCGCTTCAGCTGCAGCAGGAACAGAACTTCAGCCACAAAAGTCCCATGTGAGGTGTCCGCAACCTACAGTGCCCAGGCCTGGCTGTTGCTGGCTGCTGGTCACTGCCACCACCAGCCACAAACCCCACTTTGCCCAGGGGGAGTTTGCCATTTGCTGCATCATCGTGTTTCGATGTGCCATGTCTCCTCCTTGTCACAGGCAGGGTGGTGGCATGGGAGGGCGAGGGTGGCTGTCAGGGTGGCAAGGAACTTCTGAGGAAGGCAAAAAGTGACAGCTGGAGCCTATGGAAACCTGTAGGGAATGGGGGGAAGGTGGAAGGCGAGGCGTGCAGGCCGACACAGCCTCACATCATTTCATACAGCGACGGCTGTACCTGCAGCAAACTGGGGCTGAAAGCCAGCCACGCTCAGAAGCACCTACGAGAACAAATTGGGCAGCTGTGGGGAAAAACACATTTCACTGCGGATGCATTGCTATGAAAATAGCCTAACCTGCTGACTGGACAGCCTGCAAGTATCTAACTAACGCAGCAGGCTGAGTGCCAGAGGTGTCAATTTGCCGTAGCGCAACACATGTACTCAGCAACTGGCAGGGAAGGCGTACGTGAGTGGGAGAGGTTGAGTCCATCACCACATCCACAGCAAAGTTCAGGAGGAAGAAGTTTAACGTTATCTAGGGGTTACTGAATAAGAAATTTGGACTATTTATCTGAAAATTAACTCTATCCCAGCAGAAATTATGACACTTTTCCAGCAGACTAAAGGCTTTGCGATGAGGGGCAGGGTGTGCCCGCTGGTGGCTAATGGAGACCCACCACCGTTTGCCATGGCCGAAGTGGCAAAGGAGCACCTTACTTGTGGCAGGCTCCAACGCAAGGTTCGTGTCAGCCCACGCTGCCTGGCCGAGCGTGGAGGGGCACGGCCGGGCGAGGGGCAGCCTGTTGGGCAGTGGGAAGCACCTTCAGAGCCAGTTGGTTGCTCCTGGCGTTGTTCAGAGCAAGTTTTAAGCTTCACTAAATTGTGCCTCAGGCCCACGTTCAGAGGACCGGTCCCATGCTGGGCTGAGCCCTGTGTCTGTGGCCCCTGCGATGGGGCTGGGGCAGCATGGACCCTGCGGGGTGGCAAGCCTCTTCGTGATACCTGGATGCTCTTGTCACGTGCTAATGGCACACGATTGTACTTGCAGGCTCCAACGAGACAAAATCACCCCCTTAAAACTAGTTGGTAATACTGCTTTTGCTGAGATGCAAAGGAACGGGACTGCCACGGAGCTGTCCTGTGAACACCGCTCTGCAAACTCAACTTCTGAGTGTCCTAATAGTCATTTCCTCCTGGTTTTAGGTGAAGATGCAAATGGTTTTGGGGAGATTTCTTCAAGGCCACATATATCATCAGTCCTGTAAATGATTGCAGTGGCACCAGCTCCTGTCCTTGACTGTGCTTCTTTGTCAAGAGCAGCAGCGATAGCAATCACTCCAGTGTTTTGCAAACCTGCAGATCACTATTGCCAATCTGTGTATAAACAAGAACTAATTAATCTTCACCACATCTTTGTGAAGAAGGTAAGTATTATCATTTATTATCTTTCCTGTTTTACAAACACAAACTGAGATGACAAAACAAAAAATTATTTGCTGAAAGCCAGGCAAGATAAACACACTGCGGGCAGTAAGTATAGTTTTGCTCAGTGGAAGAAGGCAGACTGCGAGATTCCCAGGCTTTACCTTAGTGCAGATAATGAAGAATAGCCACCCGAAAAAAAAAGGTGAAGTGCAGGCTTTCTGCTCTGAGAATAAGTAGAACAGCAGCCAGAATATTTTACTAATTTTATTACGAAAGAAATACAAAGATGAAGGGCCCAAATTTTGAAACAGAGCAGTAGCTGCACACATTTGGTTTTGGTTTTTAAAAAGAGCACGGTTCCCATTTAGGCTTCAAAGTGGCTGCTCTGTCAAAAGGCCCACTGACATATTGAACCTCTTGACATTTTGATTTTTAATTTACCCTGAAATATTGCGGAGGGATCAGTTGAGTGCTGAACTTCATTTTTCTTTTAGTCTGCTGCAGCCAGATGAAGTGAAGCTGTATCTTTAAAATCTTACCCCATTTTGCATGTAGTAGGGACATGGAAAATTGGCTTTCTATGAGTGCAAAGGCAAGAAAGGATGTAGAAAGCTTGCTGAAAAAGAACTGAAAATTGCCTGCTTCACTATAGCTTTGTCTCAGTAAGATGCTCCTTGTCTGCAGAAATAATAGTTGCTTCCTACCACCTTATTCTGCATATTAGTAATTACACTGGCCATTTTAAGAAACTAGTTATGAGTGTGGATTATTCTAATGTCTGGTCAAATGTTGAATAATGATTTAGTATTCCTGTGCCACATTCTTACAAAGCACTTTAAACCGATCTGAGTACATGAGCCTGATCTTTTCAAAAATCTTAACTGAGCAAGAAGTAGCTGAAATTATCCTTAAAATAGGCACTCAGGTGGCATGTCATTTCTTAGCTGTATGAGGTGAGAAGGGGAAAGGCAAGGCAGTGGTAAAAGCAAGGGAAGAAATTCCTAGGAACAAGCTCAGAATACATCTAAAGGGAAATCCCTTAGGGCCTCCAAGCAGGTAAATAACTAACATTAAACTGTCCTGTAGCTCTTCGCCTCACTTATCTTCTTTTTTTAGTTTCCTTCTTATGGAGAACCCTCACACAGTGCAGTGCCCTTAGTTTATTCATTCTTTATTTGACTTGATAGATGCCTTTTCTGTATTTTTTCTTTAAATTCTGGGCACCAGTTGCCAGCAACCTAAAGTTTTCTCCTACTGAACAATGTAGTTAAAGACTAGTCTGAGAAAGTCACCTCTCTTCTGGCTGGGCAGAGCACCAAGGCAACCATCTCAGAGACAGATTCAGGCATTAGCGAAGCAAGAATAAAAGCAGGGATAAAAGAGAGACCTTCCTCCTCCTGTATCTATCTTGGTCACACAGAAATGGCCCGAGTAAAGAATTACTCTGGTGCCTAAAATTAGGAGACATGAGCAATGAAAGGCAAAGCACCATCTGTGATGGGCACATTTCCCCATGCTGCCATGTTTCATTGCAGACTGCTCCGAGGAGGATCAGTGCAGCCTTTGCGATT